GATGTTACCATTATCAATGAATATTTCTGATTTTGTCAGTGAAACAAGCAATTGCAGTATCAGTGGAAAAACCAGCCCTAAAACCAAACTGACAAGGAGAAAGTTTGTTAAATTTGCTTAAATATTTAGATATTCTTATTTCAATTAGTTTTTCTAAAATTTTATCCAGGAAGGGAAGGACAGATATGGGCCTGTAATTGCACATGCTGAGGGTATCACCTTTTTTAAATACTGGCACTACCTTCGCAACTTTTAATTTATACGGGAAAACACCGTTCTTCAAACAGCGGTTAAAACGTGGCTTAAGTGAAGAATTGGATATCCCTCTTCATTCAGCATGTATTATTGCCCCCTGCGAGGCTGTTGCCACCATGGCAGTGGCAGGTATTAGAGTGCGACATGTCTTTTGTGGAGGTGTCTTAGCATGCCCCAGAAGTACACATATAAATGCACTACCGAGAACTAAAGTATAAGTACTCATGCCCTGAATTTTTCACAGACGCATCAAAATCCCATTCGGGCGTATCCTATGCTGCTGTCGGTCCGTCTTTTTCTGGATGCGAGAGGCTGCACCCACAGACGAGTATTTTTACAGCTGAAGCGTATGCACTCTTTTCTGCTGTTAAATATATTTATAGTATGAAGCTCTAAAAGGCGGTCATCTATACAGACTTGCTTAGTGTTGTCAAAGCTTTGAAATCATTAAACACAGACAAGAATTCAATTCTTGTTGAACTCTTTTCAGCTCTGTGCAAAGCGTACCTTGCAGAACAACGCCTAATAATATGCTGGGTTCCTGACCATAGGGGCATTGAAGGCAATGTGCTCGCTGACAGAATGACAACTACCATAGGAACGGAATCTAGAAACCACTCTATAGGTCTACCTGCCTTAGATCTTAAAACATTTGTGCGTAGAAAGCTGACGGACCACTGGCAGCGATTGTGGGAAATTAGGACATCTAACAAGCTTCACCTAATCAAACCACAGATAGGATAATGGCAATAATGGCCTCCTTGTAGTAAAGTGGGACGCATTGAGGTCACTCTCTGCCGACTAAGAATAGGTCATACATACACTTTGCACACCCACCTGCTCCTTGGCAATGACCCCTCTGTCTGTAGTGAGTTTGGCGAGACCATAACAGTCCTTAACACATGATTGGAATGCTAGAGACTTGACACATTAAGAAGAAAGTACTTTCTCGTGGCGTATAAACAGAATATACTACTACACCCAGTGCTATTCTTTGGCTCAGACCCCTTATTCAGCACAGGCTCGATTTTAGGCTTTCTAAATGAATCTCAAACATTGCGTGTTATTGCCCCAACAATGCCGTAGTTCAGCCTCTTGGGAGAGGCTGCTGCTGGGGTAGGTTTAAGAGGCGCATGTCTTCAAGCTCTTGGGGTCAAGCAAGGGCCCTGTTGAGGCATTTGTGCCATCTTCACGAAACATCGAAATTTTTAATCTCTTGTGAACTACCTCTAATCTATTTTATTTACTTTATTTATTCAATACTGCCGACTCGAGGTTCAAGCAGGGTGGTAATGCATATACAAATATAAATAAAATAATTGCAAAACGAAACAATAAAGGGTGAAGAAGGTTGTTTGGTAGGTTAATTCATTCATCACATGTATTAGTAAGACAGTTCCATTCACAGATGGTTCTTGGAAAGTATGAATACTTCAGTAGGTCTGTGCGAGCAAAATATGGGATCAAGGCCTTTGGGTGGTGATATCGGGTGGGCCGGCTACTAAGAGGTGTCAAATACGGGGATGGGTCTAGAGCTATTTTTTTTTGTTCAGAAGTTGATCAAGGAATTCTAATCTAGCTTTTTGTCTTTGCATCTGCAGTAAGGGAATGTTGTTGGCTAGCATTAAATCTGAGGGCTAGTCTAACTTAGATATAAATCTAACAACTTTTCTTTGAATACACTCAAAAGTGTATATACTGCATTTTGTATAAGGGTCCCATACAATGCTCGCGTACTCTAGTTTTCGTCGCACAAGGGCTGTGTAACAAAGAAGTTAAATATTCGTGAGAGCACTTTGAAGTTTATGTTTAAGAAGACATAGTTTGCGAAAGACAGATGAACAAACATTATCAATATGGAGATTCCTAGATAAGTTAGAAGTGAGTGTCACACCAAGGTATTTGTAGGAGTTTAATTGTTGCAATGGTAAAAACCCTAATATGTATGTATACGATTGTGGATTCTTTTGGCGAGTCACTGGAAGGCACATACATTTGTTCTCGTTGAGATTCCCCATTTGTTGCACCATTCATATATATTGCAAAGACTAGTGCTCAGATTGTTGAAATCATTAGTGGAACGTATTTCTTTGAACAAAACAAAATCATCTGCAAACAATCTTATTTCCACACTAGGGTGAATAACATCAACAATATCATTGATATACAATAGAAAAAGCAAAGGGCCTAACACACTGCCCTGTGGTACACCCGATGCGACTGGAAGACAGTCCGAATATTGGCCCCCTACAACAACGTACTGTTCGCGATTATTTAAATACGCAGAAATCCAACAAACGAATATTTCGGGTATACCTATTGTTCTAAGTTTGGAAATGAGTTTACTATGGGGAACTTTATCGAAGGCTTTGCAGAAATCTAAGAGCATATCTGTCCTACTGTGCCTATCGATGTTTAATACAAGAGAGTGAAACAGTGTGACGAGTTGACCTCCTACCAGTCGAAATGTAGCTCATCGCCCACCCCAGTACATGCATCAAACCTCCATTTGTTGTGTATATATGTTCTAGGCCTTTTTACAGCCATGATATTTTAACACATAGTTACTCATGGTTCGACATTCCAACATAAATTGACATGGCGCTCTTTGGCCAGCCTTGGCCCTTGCACCACAAAACACCATTACATTAATTATCATGAGCCCCAAAGTGTAATGATAGAACATCAGCACGCATTGAAGAAGAAGAGTCGATAGATGGGCTAGTTGGTATAAATTCATTATGACAACTTGGTAGCACAAACAAACAGGACAAAGGACACAAACAAGTGCTTGTTTGTCATTTGTCCCATTTGTTTGTACTACCAAGTTGTCGTAATGAAAGCACTTAGAAGCTCGCGCAGAATTCCTTGGCTAAATGCAGCCAGAAAACATTTCATAATGCTGTCATCATGACAGCCATTCAAATACATGGCAGTAGCAGGCGATTAGGAAATTGGTGTTTTCATTTTTGCCCTTGGGCTGGCCATCGCTTCAGCTGGCCATTGCAGTCGCACTATTATAACACTTTTTTTTAACTCTTTCGTTACCACGCCTATTCAAATCGATTCCCAGTGATTGACGCTTCTGGATCATCGATTTTGGCATGTTAAATTTGTTTCTCGTGCTCCCAGCAGTTTCTAGTAGTTACTTCAAGCACTCAACTTCCATGATCAATTTGAATTTGCCCGTTTCAGCTACCTAGTGATTTTTGAGAGAGTTTTGCGCGAACCAATGTGCGTATATCATTTGTAAAGTGCACTAGGCTGGCGAACTTGACAGAAGTGCGTGCTCATGGTAATTATGGTACAGTAACATCAAAGTTCTGTAATGAAAAGAACCTTTGCAAGGCGAATATAAAGTTAAAGTGTCAGCTTTGCGATTTGACATTGTTAAACAGTAATAATTGCCATTATAATATGCCAGATATTCAATAGAAAGCAGTTTCTAGGAGTCGGGCAAAATATGTTTTACAAAAAATATTTGCGGTCTGCCGCAAGTGTCGAAGTGGCCTTCTATGACCATTTCCAGCAACTTTGGTTTTGCTTGCATTGTGATATCAGACACAGGGTTGCATCTAGTGTCACTAGTCGCTCCTATGACGCCATCGTCACGCGGGCATGGGTGCGCACCAGCGCTGCAAAACTCATTCGCTCATCAAAACTCTCTTGTTACTCCACCTGAATTGAGTGAGGATGAGCTTGGAGTTCAAAGATGACAGCACCTCAGCTTCAAGTTTTATGGCGATGATGTCTTGCCTGAGACATCTACAGCTGTTCATGGATTTCTTTTGCATACATCCTCAAGTTGTCTCCTCCTCCACAACTGCATATAGCTTCTGACCTTTGTGCACCATCTTATAGCTTCTCTGGTTACGTGCGTGGCCCACACTTCGCTAGAGCGCAGTGTGCTGGTGCTGGCTGCAGAGCTTCCTCTAAATACAAGAAGGCTCCCGGAGCACATCTTGGCACTGACTACAGAGGAGTGCAAAACCTTTTAGAACTGCACGCGATATTATCCTTTTTTTTAATACTATATTTGCAAAAACGAAAAAAAAATACTGGAATGCATATATGGGGACGCCAACCTATGCGGAGTGAGGTGGCTCATGAAAAGAGGTGACGCTTGATGAAATAGAGAACTTTATGGGACACTTCATTTATAGAAGAATTATTCACACTATGGGTAGCCATCTATATTGGAACACCTGGAGACTCTTATCACAAGACAACAAAAATTTACTGAGAAAAGAGTATGAGTACACTTGTGCCTCACGAAAAACTATGCAATGCTTCACTGCATGGCACGAGCAATGGAGCAGCACCTCGGTTCCGATTTTCTTTATCTATGTGAAGAGGAACATTTTGTACAACATTCATCATTTTTTACACTGTTCCTGGGTCATTTATGTACAAAATGTATATACTGAATTTTTTGTTTTGATCATATTTGTATATATAGTGTTTTTTATTGCACTGTTTACCATCTGGAAACCAAAAATTCCACACTTTTCACTTTTTATTCATTCTAAAATATTTTTGTTGCTCTACAAAATATATTTTTTGGAAAGAGCATTTCATTGCGCAAAGTTTGGTATGCTGTGATTCGTGCTAGAGTACTTTTCAAATGGGCGAAAACTATCTTCCCGAGACATATGAAAAACAACCATTTTGGCACGGTAACTAAAGAGTTAAGGAGTTGTTCCTGAATCTGACATTGTCGTTTCTGTTGCGGCTGAAACGTGCAGTGGATCTAAATGCACTGCGCATTCCTGGTGTACTCCAACGCCTGGCGTTCTCCTATCTGGTGGCTGCTACAGTGCATCTTTTGTTTGCCAAGCCACATGAGGGACAGCTGGTAAGTGTGCGCCATCAAATTGTCGGGCTTACGTAGCTCATCGTGGAAGTGATGGTGTCCTCTGAAATATAGTCCTGCGTTTCTTTAACTGTTCTATCTGGTCTTCTTTTTTACTGACTCGAATGTGGCAGGTTTAATCGAGGCCTCTGCAACCTCATTTTGGTGGCGGCGAAATGCTAGAGACCCATGTACTGTGCAATGTCAGTGCATGGTCCAAATTTTCCTAGCTTTTCTTTTTGGCGTGCCTTATAATCATATCATGCTTTTGGCACGTAAAACCACAGTTGTATTAACTCAACTGTCTTGTCTGCTGTTACTTGGTGCCAGGGCTTTTTGCACTTGATAGAGAAAGTGTCAAAACATTCAGCTAGGTATGAATTATGTATTCTCAGTTTTGTTGTAATCGTAAGATATCATGGAATTCACCAACACTTATTGACGATGACTGAATTTTCTCTGGAAGTCAAGTCAAGTTTATTACATATTTCACATTCGGTTAGATGGTTGGAATAGTACAGGAGGAGGTCCCAAAGTTTCATAGAAACTGACGGGGGACCTCCTATGGTGACATGAATGGGGTAATTACAAAAGAAGTGTAATTACAAAAGAATAGGGTAATTACAAAAGAAGGCAAAGACTAATGAGCTTAATTAAAGTAACAATGCAATTATTACGTAACATGATGGTACTACTACTAATAAAATTAGACAAAAATTATCAATAGCAGGGAATAAAACTAAAACAAAGCAAAATTAGTGTGCCCATACAGGAGGACAGTGCTTTTCGCAAACCCTGTCGGTGCATCATGTTGCAAGGCTTGCTATTGGGGTTCTTTTTCTTAGACTATGCAGATTTTTAATTACAACTTTATGGCACTCGCACTCCAGTCCTTTTTGCACACATGGTCTGTGTTGAGGTGGAACTACTTTGCTGCAACTGAAACTACATTTTAGAAGTTAGTTACCAAAACCTTGTAATTAACCTTTTTTAATTGACTTGTGGGCAGTTGCTTATATGAGAAAATTGTAGTTCATGACAATTTACCCATTTTTAAAATAAATCACGAAAGTTACACGTAGTTTGAAATATTCATCATCGTACTTGAAGGATTAAACTAAAACTGACAGCGCCTGGCATGCAGAAAATGCAGCTGTTACGAAATACCGGAACTACACGTGACAAGGAAATGATGAAATTTATAAGTCAAGGCACACCGAAGCAGAATATGGTTTGGAAAATCAGAAAGTGTTCTTAAATACGCTATTGGACAACTTATTCTTTGGGTGCAGTGTGCGCTCACACTGTTGTCTGTTTCTTTTCCCCTTCTTTATTGCATAGCATCTTTTCTTCACGCTCAAACTGAGCTACGCTAGAGCAATATCATTTTATCATGTGCCAACTCGCCCAGTTAGCAGCACTGGTCCTTATGTCTTTTTTTAATGTGTAAACAGAAGTGAAAAACAAATTCACCTGTCATCAAGAAGTGCTTCAGTGAAGCTGAGGTTTATGCTTCACAGAAAAAGAAAAGGTTGATATTATGCTTTTCTTGCACACTGCTTGAAAGAAGCAGATAAGCATTAAACACCACTTCTCGCAAGGCCAATTTAAGTACACAGGGTAGCGTAAAATTTTTTTTTCAACTCAAAATTTGGTTTTCTGCTTGTTTAAAATGATATAGCCTTTCTTAACAATATCCATAGCCATGCATGTTTTTGTGCACTTTGAAGGGACTCTAAAGAGCGAAATGATTTGTTGCGTATTAGTAAACTACAATACCACAATCCCGAAAACACCACTCTTACTGCAACATGACACTTAGTAAGCGAGAAAACGTGCAAAACGAAAACCTCTTTTGTAAGTATCATGATACTCAATGGTGGCACCTCCCACCAGACGTTGTCCACTTTGTTCTTGTGAGGCGGAAATCGCATTAGCACTATTAACAGAAGCAGTTGAATTTTGGAATTTCTACTGGACAGATGCACGTTCGTGCGAAGGAATAGCAGTGGGGAATGAATGGGTGTGAAAACGATTTGAGGCCGCTGGATTCTATTTTCATGCTTGTGGAAGGGCTCTGTGTCACTTGTCTGTAAATAGAATGATTGACAATTAGTCACTTTATGGGACAACTTAGTAAATTGATTTTTTATCAGAATTATCATCTCCACAAACCAGAGCCAAACGGTAGCAACACACACTTAATCGCCATGGAACCTAACAAGCAGTCAAAGCAAAGTAGGTGCAAAGACTGCTTCATCCCCTAGGCAATCACCCCACTTCCTCACTTCCATTGTTTTTAATTTCTGTTCTCTGTCTCTGCCATATGTTCATTTGTAGGCTTGTGCAAATAACAAATTTTAGGTCTGAAGCAAATTCGAAGTTTGTGGTGATTTGGTTCGAATAATTTCGAATTTCATTTGATGGTATGTTTCATATATTATAAAAAAAAAGAGCATATTTGTCATGCCCCAACTAACCTGCACACTTTATAAAGAAAATCAAAACAAGGCCTGTGCAAATATTCTTTACGGTTCAATCAGAATTGGAAGCAACTTTGAATAGCAGCAGAATTTGACTTCCAGTAGAATGCATTTGATAACCTGTAAAATATGTTACATTTGGAATTTACTATACTTAGAGCACATAGGTCAACAGGGGAAGCTTCTAAGCTTAAAAAGGGAAAAATCGATGTGGTGGTAATATGTTCTTTAACCTTCAAGTGGAGCTGCGTGGCAGTGCAGAATTTCCTTGGAAACGTGTAATCACGATACAGCATCTTTGTAATGCAGTGAAAACACTTTAAAGGGGGTGTTACATGTAGTTCAATATAAACCTCGTGTTGTGTCCTTCCTTTACTCTGGCCCCGCCGCGGTGTCTGGTGGCTAAGGTACTCGGCTGCTGACCCGTGGGTCACAGGATCGAATCCCAGTTGCGGAGGCTGTATTTTAGATGGAGGTGAGAATGCTGTAGGCCCGTATGCTTAGATTTTGGTGCACGTTGAAAGACCCCATGTGGTAGAAATTTCCGGAGCCCTTCACTACGATGTTTATTGTAATCATATGGTGCTTTTGGGAACTTCAACTCCACATATTGTAACAGAATAGAAAGTTGGGCGAGTTGGTGCGTATTCATATTCAAAGAAAAGCGGCGCACAAAAAAGACGGAGACAAAGAAGAGAACCACACACAGCGCTGCACTCACAACTGAAAGTTTAATCCGAGCAACAAGAATTTAAAAAGTAATAGCCGCGCATGACAAGTGAGGTACAACGAGATTAAGTGATACGCTCATCAATAAAGTGAACTCTTTTTTGTGCAATGTAACCGAGGTCTGGCTTACGCAAGCATCACGTGACTTGTTAATATGATAGGCTTCAGACACCTCACGGGTGAATTGATCGTGGTGCTTAAAAATAATAACAGTGCTAGACAGAAGAGGTGTGCACCCACACGTGGCACAATGCGAAGCTAAATGGGAAGGCGTGCCGTTATGCAAAGAGAGATAGTGCTCCCGCAACCTTTTATTGATACAGCGGCCCGTCTGTCCCACATAATGAAGGCCACAAGATAAAAGAATGCGGTACACCACCCCCACAGCACAAGGCACATACTTATATCTATGGTTTACGGCACATTTCTTTACATCTGGCTTGTCCATCTTGTCTAGCTGATTGGAAACCAAAGCACATATCTTTCCCAATTTATTGGGTGCCCTAAAAACCACATCAACTCCGTAGCGGAAACCAACATTTTTTAACCCATGTGCCAGTTTATGCATATAAGGAATTACTGCGAACTTCATTTTTTCCCGATTGATTTTTGCCTTGTGCTGTGGGGGTGGTGTACCGCATTCTTCTATCTTGTGGCCTTCATTATGTGGGACAGACGGGCCGCTGTATCAATAAAAGGTTGCGGGAGCACTATCTCTCTTTGCATAACGGCACGCCTTCCCATTTAGCTTCGCATTGTGCCACGTGTGGGTGCACACCTCTTCTGTCTAACACTGTTATTATTTTTAAGCACCACGATCAATTCACCCGTGAGGTGTCTGAAGCCTATCATATTAACAAGTCACGTGATGCTTGCGTAAGCCAGACCTCGGTTACATTGCACAAAAAAGAGTTCACTTTTATTGATGAGCGTATCACTTAATCTCGTTGTACCTCACTTGTCATGCGCGGCTATTACTTTTTAAATTCTTGTTGCTCGGATTAAACTTTCAGTTGTGAGTGCAGCGCTGTGTGTGATTCTCTTCTTTGTCTCCGTCTTTTTTGTGCGCCGCTTTTCTTTGAATATGAACTCCACATATCAATCAATTCTTTGCTCTGTCTTCGTTTTTTGTGCTGTTAAGCTTAACCAGCTGTGAATCATTACCAACTTGCTCAGTTCTCAATACTACTCAATAAAAACTTATTCATTCTTATTCTTTTTGAATGTGGTACTTAGAAATTTCCTGTAATTTAAATACAAGTCAAAGCAAATTTGAATACATTAATACTCGTTCGAATATTCAGTGTGTTCATATATTCGCACAAGTCGATTAATTTGCGACGCATTCTCTCGTTTTTTCTAACACCCTTGTTGCTCTGTCTGCCAGTGTACCTCCACTAAGAAATGTGCTTGCTAGCTCACTTGTCTGCAGAACTAAAGATAACTGTTATTTCATGTTAGGGTGCTGAACAACAAGCAGCATGCATGTGTTGCAGGAGAGTAATTAAGACCATGTGTAACCAGTCCTGACCTATAAGTGGTCACATTACGAGTGGTTTTAGAAGCATTAGTGTGAGAAGTGGGGCAAATGTATCATGCAAGGTAAGGCGATAGGGCTGCTCTTGTCTGCAGGTTTGGGCCCCTGTGCGTGACGTGCTGGCCTACTGGCCCGAGTGGCTGCTGGCAATTCCCATCCTGGCACTTCATTTGGCTCTGACCTTCTATTTGCCAGTGCCCAACTGTCCGCAGTGAGTCAACTGTTCCTGTATATTCATATTCAAGAGCCTTTTAGCTGGACTGTTCGCTGGCCTTGTTGATATTTAGAATATTTTATTCAACCACGAGACAAGCACATGAGCAACACGTATACGTGGTTTGGGGCAAAGGGAAAAAAAGCTGCATGTCATTTGCCATGCCATGTGCCAATTATGAAATGTAAACTTCAAGAACAATTTCGTTTTTTTTTTTTTTTTTGAGTAAGTTTGTGTTTGGATCTGTAAACGATTTCAAAATGAAATAGAGTAGACTCTCAGTAAAAGGAACCTGCAGGGACCAAGAAAATGTGTTCCATTTAACAAGAGTTCGGTTTATTGAGAGATGAACATGGGTGATGAATACAAGCTCGAAACCAAGCATTGCAGAGGCGATAGTTCCGTTTCAGCAGTAGTTCCGTTTAACAGATTTTTCTTTATTGAGAGTCTACTGCATTAAAGGTGGCCAAACTTTATACATATGAGCTATTCCTTGAAATCATGCAGCAATTTAATCTGACAAACATTCCTTCTAGAGTAAATACAGTGTTTAAAAATGACAGGCTATAATTTCAGAAATAGTTTTGTGTCCATACCATATAGAACAAGTTACGCCTCACAAAAACTTGCTGTTCAAATTCCTAGCCTCTCTATGACTATTGTTTAACCATAAATCTCCTCAAGTCTAGAATTAGGAAGTAAGCATATCAAAAAACAATGAAAGAATTACTTTCAGAGGACTAAGGCTAATCAAAGAAGAATATGGTTCTATATCAATGTTATGTATTCTTTTTATTTTTATTTCTTTCTTTTTCTCTCCCCACATGTGCTTTGTTAGCCCTATATGTTGTACCTAACCTAGTTGTATTTCATTTTTTTTTTGCTGGAGAGTTTTTAATGCATATTTTTGTCATATTTATGCTTATGTTTTCTTTTTCAGTGCTATATAACTGTATAATATTGATCTTGTTGTCTGTTTTCATTTATTGTACTTATTTTCATGAATTGTAAATCTATGTCAACAAGTGTAGAATTTGATTTTCAGGTACACTTTTATATTCATAAATGTTTTTTTTTTTTGCTGCTGCTGCTGTATGGGTGGCACGGCCCAGTCAGGCAATGTTTGCCTTTAGTCGTGTCTCCTTGGACAATTCTGTGATTATTCTTAATAAACTAACAAAAAAAGAAAGAAAAAAGTGTGAGGTAGAAATTGGAAATGCTAATACATATCTATTTTGTTAACTTTTATTATACTTGGGTTTTTACAGTACGCTTTAAACCTTGTCATGCTTTCTCATGAGCGACTGTATCAACAAAGTCTCAAAGTTCCTTACTCTTTACTGACTAGCGCCCTACAATAGTTTTGTGAGAGTGTACAAATCAATTTAGCTAATATGCTAAGTCTTTCAGATCACTCACACTCTGGTATAATCCCTCTGCATAAAATGTCAGGAGGGGTAAGATGGAAGCTTGGAATTAAAAAACTCGTAAACAGGGGTTGTGTGCTCGAGCCGATGTTTTGACATGGGGACCTGTCTTCTTCGGGCTGAAAATTCAAGACAACAAAGAAGACAGGGTCACTTGTCGAAACGTTGGCTTGAGCACACACCCCTGGTTTACAGATTTTTTCTTTGCATAAAACGTGTAGTGTAGCTTGAAAAGTTTTAAATAAGCTCACTGCTACAGATCACAGCCGTGCCGCCACTCTGAGTTTTTAGGCACACCTTCACTTGGAATGTGGCATTGAGCAGCTGTGTTTTATAACTAGAAGATGCTAGGCACACCCCCTCCTCATGTCAGCTGACGCAGGCATCTGTACATACAGTCGAATCTCATTGATTATAACATGCTTAATTCGAACTTCCAGTTAATTTGAACTCGCGCTCAGGTTCCGTCAAAGCTATGTGTATTCCAATGGGCGAAAACGCCCTGTAATGCGAACGCGCAAGCACTTGCGACGGCCAGCAGTTAATTCGAATATACCGCACTCCGAAAATGCTCTCAGCACCACGCCCAATCTTGAGGTGGCACCTCCGACACCTCAATGTTGCGTGCGAAGGAAAAGAAAAGGAAAGAAAAGGCTGTGGTAAAATGTTAGCTCTTTCTCAAATGCCGATTTGCGATGCGCCTGTGCCACGCTTCTCCCTTTTCCGTACCTGCCACGTAAAGACCCTTCTCTTTTCAACGCTGTCCGCGAAGATAGAGGTAAAAAAAAAAAAAAGCTCTCGCAGAGTGTTGGCTCTTTCTCATGCGCCCGTGCCATGCTTCCCCCTTTCCCATCCCTGCCACGTAGACCCTTCTCTTTGCTCGCTCATTACAGGCCATAACAAACCTAGCAATGCTCAGACTTAGGCTTAAATGAACAAACAAGGTCGGGGGTAACATAACAGAAATAACCAATAAGTTATCGCAATAATTAACCTAAAATTGCAAAAAAATAAAAAAAAAACATGGGGCTGACCTCGGTAGGGTGCCAGAAAGGGTGCCGTCACCTCGCTGAGCGAGCGAATGACCCTCTCCCGCTGCGCTGCCTCTGCGTTAGCGCAGTGCTGAATTCCTACATGACTACATCTGATAGAGGAGCACTCCATGTCTCCTGTGCAGTTCATAGTGTGTTTTTATATCCTATGTTTATTAAACAAATGTTTAACACTGGCAAAGTGGTAGTGCACTGCAATGATATCTTTTGAGCTTGTGCTCGAATAGGGAATTTTAGGTTCGAAACGAATTCGAAGCAAAGATTGATCTGGCTTAAATAATTTCAAATTGAATTCGATTAGTATATATGGCATATGAAGAAAAATGGGCATATTTATTATGGTCTAATTAAGCTGCACAATATTTAAAAAAAAATTGAAATAGGGCTTCTGTTTAAATGCCTTTTTTTTTTCGTTCAAAGGAAGTAGTAACAGCTTTGAGTAGTAGCAGGATTTGACTTTCCGCAGGGTGCAAGTGATGACATGTAAAATACGTAACATTTTAAAATTTATTATACTTAGGGCACATAACCCGCCATAACAAGCTTTTAAGCTTAATAAAATAATGAATTCATTCGAGGGTAATATGTTCATTTAAAGGCGCCCTGCAACACTTCTTCAAGTAGCCATGAAATGGATTCTCTGCAAAGATCTTTAGAATCCGCCCAGTACTAGCAGAGTTGCAAAGATTTGTGGCACGCTGCAATTGCATTCTCTTTTCTCTTGGTCCGACGAAAGTACTGGAAGCTTAGAAGAGAGGGATGGCACGGGGAAAGAAAATACGTCACGTGCGTCTCGGGACCTTGAAGACTTTTTTTTGTTTAATACGCGGCTTTTGTGTGCATTCACGCGCGTATGTGTGGACAAGTGGCAGCCTCCTGCGGCCGTCCCAGTAACCACCGATTGCGCCGTGCTCAAATCAGCTAATGGCTGATATAATGGCTGTGACAAGTGATTTATGGGCATGTGGTGTCATTTGCCAAGAGAGCAATTTTTAGCTGATTTTGAGAAATAAATGTGAATGGTGCGCCGCATGCTGCGCTATAATATTAGGCTCGCGTTTTCTAATAGCCTTGACTACCGATCTGCAGCGTTTTCTGACCATGCTTAAAAAGTGTTGCGGGGCCTCTTTCAATTTGAAGGGGGGTTATCATGGTCACTCTCGGCAGAGTGGATTTCTTTTGAATAGGTGTTTTTACGGCTTAGCACTCCTACACCGCAGTGGAACCACCCTTAAAGCAGGTTACATGCGGACTAATATACACCTATTCGTTCATTGTGAATACTTCGAAATTTTCAATAATGTAAAATTCGAATCGACAGAAATTCGAATATTCTATTATTATATTAGTTCGAATATTCTAATCATTCCAATATTTGCACGAGCCTAATGTTTTCATAGTGAATGTTTAGTACTAAGGATAGGATTATACAAAAAATGAGTTATTAGAATGTCCCCCTGTAGTTGCATTTTATGTTACAGGCTTACTTTAACACTTCTTTAAGTCGGACCCAATTTTTTTCTACACCTAACTGATATAGAGGACTGAGAACCAGCAAGGCTTGACGTGGTGCACGGCCATATTTTGCAGGCACCAACAAAACAGCAAGGGATGAGCACAGTAAAAAAAAAAAAAATTAGGATTTTAGCACTAATAATTGGTAAACAATTATCCAGATAACTAAGGTAATTATGATGTGAGTGAAGCATCTGTTACATATATATGTAATGAGTGGTTTTCAGAGATGCTGTTAGTGATCACTACATTACATAAATGTCAATAGTTGCACACATAAAAAAGAAATACAGTGATATATGCATAAACTGTTCAGACACAATTCATAGAATATAGTATACAGCTGAATGTACAGTCTTCATACGAATACTAGTACAAAACACTTAATACTTCATATGCATAGTACAAACAAGACAATTTCGGTTACTGAAGTGCTGTTGTCAATTATATTCATGTTTTAGACACTCTTAAGTATTAATCTATTAAGTAGCTTTAGCCTCAATCCATAATTTGATTAGTGCCTTTATCTGTGTTGCTCTACTCGCAATGTGGTTGTGTTTTTTTCATTGCTGAAGGCAGCTAACCAACGATTACGACAGCTGCATGATGCCCATATAGATAAGCATTGAAAGAGAGGTCATGGCAGCTACCAAAGACTTCCTTGTACGACTTGTCACTGACAGTCTTGTTGCGACAAGCATTTTCAGATCTGCTTGACAGCTTGTGTTGTGTAGGGCTGTAACATGTGCTGCTCGCTTTTAATGGGGAGCGATCCGAACACTGCACAACTATTTCCCATCACCTCTTTGTGCATGGCCACTGAATGTGCATGTAACTTACAGAAACTACTGTAGCATCATTGTCGCCATATTGTCCAGGCAAAGTATGCACCACATTCATGCTCACCCTGGAGTAGTGTGGGCTTTCTACACAGGCACTTGAATGGCAAACACATGCATATGTATGGTACAGCATGTGGGAACCTTGTAGGTGCACATGCCACTACGGTTGACCGATGCTGCATGGCAGCAGCTACCATGTTTCAATAAAGCGGCACCAGTTTCCACCAGGAAAATGCTGTTCCTGAGTTGCACATGCATAGGAAAAAGCTAGGTGAGCCGTCAGCTTTGCCACCATATTCCTCATCATGGTTTCAAAAAACTTTTTGTATCAACATTTAGTGCTATCAACAGTTGTGCGAGAGAGGCAAAATTTTTGTCACACATTGAGTTTAGTATCGGCTCTCGTGCCAAGCAGCCACGCTCCTTTATATCTGTCTTCTTTGGCTGCGACATTTCTCGAAATCGCTTACTGAGGAGATGTAGGATTCAATTTATTGGTACTTTTGAAACATAAAAACCGGAATATAGGTTGAATCAAAAAGAAAAATGCAATGAAAAGTCTATCCTCCTCTTATATACTGGTCATTGGCAGAAAGAAATGGGGAAATCTTGCAACAATAGCCACGTGAAGTCGAAAGCCTCTATTGCCATTGTGAGAATCAGCAGCGGCGCCATTGGGCAAGGCTAGGCAACGGCATTTGGCAAAGTTTGACAGCACTTTGTGGCCTTCTTGCGTTTAACTACATAAGATTAGCGTCCAAATGAACAGAAATGTCACCACAGTGCAGCTGGTTGTCTTGTGTATTGACCAAAGTAAGGGTACGCCGCTATACTTCACGATTTTTAAAATTTTCTTTTTCGGAGATTCAAAGTTTGGGAGGTCGACCTATATTCCGGTTCTTATGGTAGTTCACAATACATGAAGAAAAATTTCTCTTGCAAGTCTGAGTTCATTTATATTGAGGTTTGATTGTAGTTTACGTCAAACATTTTATTTTATTTATTTGTACATACTGCAGGCCCTAATCGGGCCCATGCAGGAGTGGATACATAGAGGTAACATGAGGCATAATAACGCTACACAAATAGAAAAGAAAGAAAGTATTAATACACATAAGATACTTCATGATTCACATGTATGCGTTTTTAGAAAAATCAATCTCTTCTAGACAGTTGACAAAAAATTCCAGTGTAGAACAATTCACAGCATTGACTGGCAGCCTATTCGAAAAACTAATGGCCATTGGGAATAAACAATACTTATGTGTATTGACACGGCTAGCAGGTTGAAAGATGGCCTTATTATGGTTTGTCCTGAGTGAGTGTTTAAATGGGTCCTGTAAGTACAGATTGTGCGGTACAGTAAAAGCTCGTTAATTCGGATTTCACGGGACCGGAAAAACTGTCCGAATTAACCGAATGCCGAATTAACGAATGAACAGGGAAAACAACATTTAAAATCAAGCTGCAGAAGCATACCTTTATTTGTTGAAGTATTTTGTAATTGTCGTCTGCGTTTTCGCGCAGATTCCAGCTGACATCACAATTTTTCTTAACTGTTCCAAATGGCCAACAGCACGCAAGCTGTCGGGAGTGTTCAGTTAAGCGTCCTCTAATATTAACAGCGCCTCTGAGACTTCCCGTGAGGTGCGATGAGGTTGCGGCTGTATCTCCTTGCATGATTCTTCGTCAGAATCGTGGTCTTCATGGGCGCCCGTGACTTCATTAATAATCTCTTGATCGGTCAGGAGACCACTCGTGGTGACACCATGATCAATCGCGATGTAGTCCTGAAAGGTCACATCTGTGGGAAGGACAGCATTGAAAGTCGGGCAGTCATCGTCGGAGGACTCGGCTGACACCTTCTCGATGCCATCGTCAGCTACTGCTGCATGCTCGGGCCTCACAAAACCGCTGTGCCGAAAACAGTTGGCGATGACTTGCGGCGGAGTGTTTTTCCACACGTGGGCGATGATGTACACTGCGCCGGGTAAGTCCACTTGATACAGCTTTCCAGCTTCTGAGCACAGGATCATTGGCTCTAGCAGGTGCTTGCGGTACTTCGACTTCACGTAGTGAATGATACCCTGGTCCATCGGCTGAAGAGCAGACGTAGTGTTGGGCGGCAAAAAAACTACTTTGATGCTCTTCAGTTCGACTGTACAGTCATGGGCACTGCAGTTGTCAACAACCATAATTATCTTGCGGTCCTTTGACGTGAAGTGCCGGTCCAACTGCTGCAGCCAGCCGCGAAAAATGTCCGATGTCATCCATGCCTTCCTGTTCGCTGTGTACTCGACAGGAACGCTTTTGAAGTTCTTAAAACAACATGGCTTAAGCGCTTTCCCGACGACAAGTAGTGGCAAGCGCTCCGTGCCGGTCATATTGGCGGCAAGAAGCACAGTTATCCTTTGCTTGCACTTCCTGCCACCAATGCACGCGTCCCCTTTGAAAGTCACCGTCTTGTCGGGCAGAGCTCTGAAAAATAGAGCAGTTTCATCTGCATTGAACACGTCACGTGGTTCATATGCGGCGATGTGCTCCAGCAGCTTCACATTTCTCCACTCGGTGGTCATGCTTTTGTCAACACTGGCCTTTTCGTCGCACACACTCCTGAAGACAAGTTCGTGTCTCTCTCAAAACCTCGCAGACCACCCTTCTGACGCTTTGAACGATTCAATGTTCATCATTGCAGCGTACTTCTCACCTTGCGCCATGATGAGAGGTCCGCTCAAAGGCAGATGCGCGTTGCGACAGTCAGTAGTCCACCGAAGCAAAGCTTCTTCGAGCTGGGGATGAGCTGCGGTTCACAACCGCTTTCTAGAGGCATGAAACTTCTCGCTTTCGAAGGCTTGTCGAATCTGTTGTTCATTTTTCACGTACGCTCCCAACGTGCTCCGCTTCACGTCGTACTTGGTCATAACCTGCTGTCACGATTCGCCGTTCTTCAGTGCTTCCAAAATTTCCACTTTAGTCGCCAAGTTCTTCGCGTCGTAGTTCTGCCGCTTTTTCGGCGTTGCCATCACTGTAGCGCACGATGGTGGTGGCATGCAAATACGGTCACAATGGAAGAAAAAGAGAACTCCGCAAGAAGAGATGGTTGCGACACGACAAGACAAGGGCAAATGGCGTCGGAGGCGCTGAGTGGAGAAGAAAGAAGACGCCGACGTTCGGTGACGCTGCGATCGCCCCCACTAGTTGATGATCATGGCAATGCCACTCAGGTTTCGGTTTTACTCCAGTGGTTCCAGCGCTGCTTTATCACACTTTTGTGTAGCAGCAGCCGTCAGCATTTGTCCGAATTAAGCGGTGCGGAGCCGAATTCCGACGAAATAACGAAGGTTTGGTCCCATAGATTACATGCACTTTGGACCAATAGAGCTGTCCGAATTATCCAAATTTCCGAATTAACGGGTGTCGAATTAATGAGCTTTTACTGTATCTTAAAATGACCATGATAGAGTAAGTATAGGAACTTTAACCTAGAAATTATTCTTCGTTTGGAAAGTGGCTGAAGATTCGCTCTATTAATTAGGTCAGTGACGCTTGAATGCCGCAAATAATTAGAGTAGATGAACCGGGCAGCTAATTTCTGAATGCGTTCAATTTTGTCTATTAGGTGTTGTTGGTGGGGACTTCATATTATGTCTGCATATTCTAAGGCAGGGCGAATAAGAGTCTTGTATGAGTTAATTTGACTTGGACCGGAGCATTTCGCAACCTTCTTCTAAAAAAGGATAGCTTCCCTGCCGCTTTTTTGCATGCCAGTGCTATTGCAGCGGGTGGATCTGTGGCATTAATTAAAATGATTTTGCCAACATCCAGGGGCTACCTCGGTCCAGGAGGCTTGCACCTGAATAGCAGCTTTGAAAACTGCACAGGTGGGGCAGCTGGTTTTATTGATCGAAGCATTTTCGGCAACAATCACATCTACCAGACACCAGATATGCGGGTAAGGAAGTGCTGCACGAGCAGATTCTGCATTCACTATTATGGTGCTGTTTGTTTGACATTTCTTGCATGCATAGACATACTGGTCTGCAGTCAGGGACACCTCAGTGCAAGCTGACATGCTGCCATTGATGAGTATGTGACACTACCACGCTGCCCATTTCTGCAGTAAATGAGAAAATAGAGTGATTGATTGATATGTGGGGCTCAACATCCCAAAACCATCATATGATTATGAGAGACGCCGTAGTGGAGGGCTCCGGAAATTTCGACCACCTGGGGTTCATTAACGTGCACCCAAATCTGAACACACAGGCTTACATTTCTGCCTCCATCGGAAATGCAGCCGCCGCAGCCGGGATTCGATCCCGCGACCTGCTGGTCAGCAGCCGAGTACCTTAGCCACTAGACCACCGCGGCAGGGCAGAAAATAAATAGAGGCAAGGGGTAGCTGCGTCAATTTTTTTTCTACCATAATATGCAAGCCCAGTCTGCAGTATGTGTTCACCTCCTACCCCTGCTACAGCCCGCAAGGGCTAGCAGTATTGTAAATAAATAAATAAATAAATAAATAAATGTGTGCTTGTCGACGATGGTAACGCAAACCACTATGGTAGCGTAGATGTGTGGTGTCACGCTGTTATGCTTGAGGGTGCAAGATAGATTCCTTGCCATGGTGCTCACTTGTCCATGGGGTACAAAGAACGCTCGTATATGTGCACATTAAAGAACCTCAAGTGACCAGAACTGATCCTGATAACCCCACTATGGTGTTCCTCGTGATCATAAAGAGTTAGGCACATAAAAGCCTAGAAATTATCAATGTTCAACAAACACCTTCATTCTAAGCAGATGCAGGCAAGCAGAACAACTAAATCTGTGTGTTAGGCACCTTAAATGAAGAGTGAAAATTGAAGACATTTGGTACTTCTCTGGTGAAGCATGAATTCTAATGTTACTTCGCCACAGCAGCCAGTGCAGATAGGACGCCAAGACTAGAGGGATGGACTACCCTAGACCATAAGGAGCTTCGTTCTTAAACAAATGTTATAGGTGCCAAGGCTTTGATGTAGCGATGCAATTGTTCTTTTTCTCGCACGGTTTGCCAAACACAGTCTGTCCTTTTATTGCTAAGCATAGTGAGTTAAGTGTCCACTGTAGAATAAACACAATCCTCTCTTTTTCTTTAAGGCATAGCTGAGAAGAGCAGCACAGGCCAGAACTGTCTGTGCTGCGCTCCTCAAGGCCGGCAGGGTCTCCTAGCCTCTTAATGACCGAGTATAATTGTGCAGGATGAATTTCTCTTTTGTCTGTGAACAGCTCAAAGGGCCCCTCACAAAGTTTGAGCATTTCCAACTGGCAAATGTGTTGCATTAACTGGACACTTGCAATTACGTCTGCTAGGATTTGCGACTCCACGCATCGTGGAAAGACATGAAATTTCAGACTGAACTTCGCTTGCTCTTCTCGCAACCGTGCACCCTAACATGGAGGAGGTGAATTACCTCAAGGAATGTTCATGTGTATGTCACTGTTGTACATGGCACGGCGTGAATTATTTGAGGTGGCGTGTAATTTGTGCAACCTGATGCCTGAATAGAAGAATAAAAGTTGATAGTAAAATTTAAACATACAAATGAAATCGGCATGTGTTTCTATTTATTTTTTTCTTCGAATTCGGCGAGATGCGAGATTAAGCTGCTTCCATTTCATTTGCATTTGTGTTCTCATCGTTTGGGCTTCATGCCGGCGCCAGCCCTGACAACGCGACAAGGCTTGGCGTGTTTTTGGTGCATTGTCCTTTACAGCAGTTCCAACAGTGCAATGCTGTATATCGTGGTATGGATATACGATTCATGCCAGCCTCTCCAAACATGTGCACATAGAGGGATTCATGCCACATAGACAGGCAATATACTACAGAGAACGCCGAAACGACACAACCCCGCTTGCGTGCATGACCTGGCTTGGGCACGTCATGCGCATGTATTCTTGCATGGGCATGATGTGTCTATGCGTCTGCATTGTGCGATATTTCGGCTTCAAGTTTCTCTGATACTGAAGAGGGCAGGGAAGGAATTAAGCTTGACAGCAGGGGCGCAACAGCTGCGCCAATTGCACTAGTTTGATACAATTCTCCATTTTTGTGCCGAGCTGCACCAAAACCATGAAATTTGTTGAAATTGCACCAAAATGCCCAACCAGCCTCAAAATTTTTTCAGTTGCGCTAATTTCAGTGAGAAATGGAGGCCACGTACGTCGCCCACCTGCAGTTGGAGTCATCAATAAATCCAAGCGGGCAGACCTTAACCTTAAACCATAGTAACCTAACCACGCTGACCTTAATCCCATTAGGTCAGGGCACTCGCGAGGTGTGATCGACCAGATGAAGTAACAAAGCTGTGCTGCCATCGGTCCGCTGACTGCAACCGATACCTATCGGCGGTAGGACGCTACTTCAAGACAAAGATGCGTTGCCGTAGCCCGAACACTTCCAGGAAATATGAGCTTCCTAGTAAGCAAAAGCGGCTATGGCATGTGAGCAACTAGAGCTGGGAGTGCATACCGCGTTATCCGCGCGTGAACAGAGTTGATGCGCTGCAAACGCTGGCGTTGCTGGCGACCATATTGGTCGCCATAGCAGTGGTACATAAAACATTTTTCTCTATTAAAGTTACGTTGTTTGCATCGTCCCGGTGATAGATATCCGGTGCTGTCGCTGGAGCAACGGGCCTGCGTCGCTGTTACTTCATCTGGTTGAATGTGCCTTGCAAGCAAGCCGAAATGTTGTGCCTTAAACCTAACCCCCATCATAAAAAAAAGGGGGCGGGGAGAGGAGTACCGGTGTTAGAAAATTTATTGGCCTTGTTCAAACCCTTGCAAAACTCTGCTTAAACTAGCTTCGCCGCAATACACGGGTGCCCTGCGGAAAAGTGTATGATTTAGAAGGGCTCGTTAGCATTTTTTAAAAAAATAATTCGAGTGCGAACACACGCCACACTCTCTCACACACGCACACGCACACACACACGCACACACACCAAGCATGCACAGTGCTAGTTAGCACTAGTCACGAAATAGTAAATTTAGTTCGATTACTCATGCGTGTATACTACTACCACATAATTGTGAGCGCTAGTATTATCGCTGATGTCTGGAAAAGTAACTGGCTGTCATTCGGAACAGTGTATGACACTTATGCGCTGAAAAACAAAAACAAACTGCGCAAGTTGTTTTTTTGCCACCCCTACTCCTCAGTTTCATTGAATTTCAAGGTCGCCAGCTTGGCAGTTGAGTTATGTAGCAGTGTCCAGGGCTATCATCCTTGCTAGCACCAGTGCTGCATGTCAGCTTACCGCTCCTGGTGATGCTAACATCCATGTTGCTGTTGGCATCGTTATGCAACTGTAAACAGCTTGTGCTATAAAACATATGGAGCTGTTTAACATATGTCTGTGCATGCATTTGTACATATCCTTAGCACAACTTCAACATACCTGCGCATTGTTCACATAGCATTCCTAAGGTACATGAAATGTGCTGAATTTTTTAATTCACAAAGACCTCACAAGCAACATAGAAGAGTTCTTTAGTATCAACAAAAGGGAGGGAGCCTTATTATCAAACTGAAAAAGCGATATAAACTCAAATTAGTGCAAGTGTACGCCCCAACATTCAATCATGACTACGGAGAAGTAGAACAGCTATACGAAAATATCGAACTTCGTAGCAATGAGATGAAGGCATACTCAGTACGCCGTAATCATGGGAGACTTCAATGCAAAAATAGAAACAAAATAAAATGGAGAAGACGCAGTTGGTTATTGACTACAGGAGTACCATAGTAGAGATGTCAGTAAAAATTCACGGAGCAGAATAGTCTTTGCATAATGAACACCTTTTTACAAAAGCGTAAATGTAAGAAATGGAAATAGAAGAGCCCTGACAAACAAACATAATGGAATAGATTTTATTCTATGCAGAAACCCGCACATAATACAAGACATTTATGTCATAAACCAGCTGAAGTGCGGTGACCATAGGTTGGCAAGGGCAATTATAGCGTTTAAATTGAGATTTAGAGCAAGATTGGCTATGAAAAGACAGCCCAACCTAGACGTTAGAAAAAAAAAAACGGAAGATTTTAAAAGGGGGGAATCAAGAAAAGAAAGCACCATTGGGGAAAGTCGTTCACTACCCTTCAGCTCGGCTCGATTATGCACGTGCTGATTGGTATTGATCGTTCGATTTTACGGGCGCACACCAGGACATTGCAATCACGAATTGCCATTAGTATTGAGAACTAACAGAGAACACTGCCAGAGAAAGTATAGAGGATGCTAATTAAGTAAATGTAATGTAAATGTGAAGGTGCTAAAGTGGACCAAAAGATAGCCACTCGTCGTCATGACTATTGGCGGCGCTGTTTGATCCTGCCATGTTTAAATGCACATCTATAGCCCATTAAGTGGACGGGGGGGATAGCTGCTGCGGTAGCTCAGTTGGTAGAGCATCGGACGCGTTATCCAAAGGTCGCAGGTTTGGTCGCCCGTCTGCTTTTCCTTCATCACATTTACATTACATTTAATACTAATAACATCCCCTATACTTTTCTTGGTGGTGTTATCTCTTTGTTTTCATTAATATTCTGTTCAATAAACAAAAACGAGCCCTTAAATTTTCCACTTCGAACCCAAACTTACCTAGTATTACGCACACTGATCTTGGGTCAGTGCTTCAGTGCCATTTTTTTCGTCGCCCAACCTTCGCATCTTGAAAAAACTTGCCGCAACAACAAGCCGTACTGCAGGCTAGGCCTAATCATTCCTTCCTTTTCCTTCCACTTAGCACCACCTTTCCAGCATGCACATTTTCCAATGTAAACATAAGGTACACAATGTAGCAAGTTAGTGTGCAGCCGGAAATGTGCTGTGTTGTTCGCCAAGAAAAGTATATACTTGTAACATCACACTAAAGTTTACACTGAACAATTGAAATGCT